AATAATAATAATAATAATAATAATAATAATAATAATAATAATAATAACAACAATCCACGAATCCATTAAACGTACCAAACGCACACTGTTTTAAATGTTTTAAAAATCGGATGGAAAAAAACTCTCGAAATTTCCATTGTTTGCCAAAAAAGTAAAAATGCACAAATAATCCTCGATCGAATTCACGCTTCAAATATTTCATGTACAAAACAATGCTCCGTTAAAGAAAAAAAAAAAAAAAAATGTTATATAAACAAAAAAAACTTGCACCAACCGAGGCTTGTTGACTGGAAGCTCGAAAAATTAATCCAACACCCATCAACAGGCGTCACGGACTACGCAAGCGAGAACAGCTATCAGGAGGAGAAGTCGAGCGAGAGAATAGTACCGACGCCCTTCCCCGTCAAACGGCACTCGCACAACAACTCCAAGGCAAATCCCACAAAAGTTCACGAGGGTTACTACGCGGCCACGGACATATTGACGGTAAGCCGAGAAAATAATATTACCCGCTCGATCTGCATTTTTTGTTTTTTACGAATAAATAAAATGTAAAATTGAATAAGCAAACGTATTTTTTATTGTACCGTTTTTTTCTTTTTCTTTTTAATAAAAAGTACACGGTGCACGTGTTGAATATTAACGTGAATGTTAAAAACGAAAGCCGAGCCGTGAGGGAATCGATAAAATTTTATTACGCTCGGCCACTCGGTGTACATGCAATTTACGACGGGTCGGCCTCACCGCGCGGTGTCGTTAAAAACACATTTCTGGTTTTTCCGGGCTATGCTTTCGCGATACGTATTTTTCCTTTCACAGTTGTTTCCGAGTAAAAAAAAAAAAAAAAAAAAAAAAAATCGATCCACAGATAAAGCGTCGCGAGCAGCAAAGCGCGTCGAGCTTGTTCACGCCACTGCAGATCCAAGAGAGCGCCACGCTGTCCAACACGTCGAGCATATACAACATCCAGCACATATCGAGACACCGGCTGAGGATCCTCGACAAGTTCGGCGAGGGTAGTTTCGGGCTCGTCTATCTGTGCGAGGCCAAAGGCATATCTGGCCCCGACATCGGCACCATACGCATCCGACAGATAGTCATCGTGCGCTCACTGTGGCGCGGCGTCACCGATTCGCTCAAGTATGACGGAATTCACTTTTATTTAGAAAAACATTCACCCTAGGCTCGATAAAAATATTTCTATGATCTTGAAACACGGATAATCAAAATTATTATCAGTGGTATAAAAAGACTTGTAAAAATTTTGAAAAAGTCTCATTGACAAAGCACATTTCTAAAGCTCGATAGTATATTGAAAAATAAAAAATTGCAGAAAGGATTTCATGAAGGACATGCACCTGCTGGCCGCGATTCGAGACGTGAACGTAGCGAGGATAATCGCCTTGGTCGACGAGGAGCCCATGGGCGCGGTCTTTGAGTACGGCGAGCTCGGCGATCTGCCGACCTTCATGAAAAGCGGAAGCGAGAACGGGAACGACGACATAACTCTGAGGTACCCTATATACACGCATTATCGAGTGAAAATTGTATCGGGGTGGAAAAAAGAGACATGTTTTTTTTTTTTTTTTTTTTTTTCTATTCACAATATTTTTTGGGTCAACAGTTACGGCTGCCTTCTCAACTTTGTCACGCAGATATCGTCGGGCATGAAGTATCTGGAAAACCTCAAGATTCCCCACTGCGATCTAGCTGCGAGGTAATGCATGACAAAATAAAAATAATTTCACCATGGTTTGTTTAACCCATTTTCTTTTTATTTTTATTATTTATTTTTTTTTTTTTTAGAAATTGCATCGTCAACAAAAATTTGATAATCAAAGTGTCGGATCACGCGTTGTACTGCAGCAAATACGACCACGAGTACTACGTGAACGGCTACTACGCGAAAGTACCGCTCAGATGGATGGCCTGGGAGGCTGTCTTGATGGTAAACTCAGCAAAAAAATGTAATATAAAAAAAAAATAATAATAATAAATAACAACGCTCCTCTCCCAAACAGGGCAAGTGCAGCAGTGCCTCGGACGTCTGGTCGTACGCGGTGACCGCGTGGGAGATATTCAGCAGTTGCAGCGAGCTGCCCTTCGCGGAACTGACCTCCGAACAGGTGCTCGAGAACTGCAGCCGCTGGTACCAAAACTACAGTATCCCGTCGAACAACAACCAACAGCAGGCCCCTCGCGTCCTACCCCAGCCGAGCTTGTGTCCCCGCGAGCTCTACCGCATGATGTCCAAGTGCTGGAGCAGGAGGTCCGAGGACAGGCCCACCTTCGAGGACATATATTTGTTCTTGAAGCGGCTGACGTACGACTGAGGGTCCCACGAGTCGGTTGTTACCAGTGATGATGACCGTTTCGTGTGCTCGAGTGGTGACAGCAGTGAGACTTGCTGCTCCAGCCGGTGCGACGGGGACACGGATACCCACGCCCCTCGTCGGGCTCTGACACTCTAGTGCATTTCCGTTTTTTTTTTTTTTGTTTTTTTTTTTCCACAAACGAGACATGTGTATCCACAGTTGAGTACAAATCATTCGCCGTTACGAAGCTCTCGATGGTTTTATTTCCAAAAGTGTGATTTCCCCGTGGTCCGTCACTCGACTCGACTCGGTGCTGCATCATATACAGTTACAAGACATTTTACCGACGATGAACAATCAGCCGAGGGCTCGCTTGACTTTGCGAGGAGTAACCGGTCGCCGACGCTTTCGACCGTGCACGCGTGCGGTCAAAGCCACACATAATTATGTTACGGACACTGTTGCAACGACTGCGCGTTGGTGCATGTAGTTAGAGAAAAGCGTGTCGTACACCTGGACGGCGCGTTGTGAGAAGAAAAAATATTTTTTGCAATGTAGAAAAGTATGAAGAAAAAGAAAAAAAAAAAACAAAAAAAGGATGGTGAGATATTGACATGACTCCGAAAGTTTGGAGTAGTACGACGAGACACGAGCGTGGAATATTTTTTAACTGTTTAACGCTGCTGCGCGCACCGGTTTTTGTATACCCATCCGTTGTTCATACCGAGCAGTTTGGGTTTGTGAAAAATTTAGAATCGGTAAAATAAATACGTCGCGGTTGTACATAATTGACCTTTCGAATTCATTGTAGATCCTATGGAAAAGAAAGAAAAAGAAAGAAAAAAAAAAAAAAAAGATTGTACGTGCTGAAAATTCTCATTACTTTCTGTTATCGAATCGCAAGATTTGTTTCTCGAATCAGTGGAACACGTCCTGTGTATTATTAATTCCGATGAATCCTCCAAACGGATTTTCTCGCTTAGGTATATTGCGCAACGTATACTGTTATACTCCGTGACTGCACGAATAAAAAAAACAGACTCACACTTGTAAAGAACAGTCGTAAGCTCACGTATGTAATTTCTCAACGGTACTGTATAATCACGAGCGCTGTTTTGTGATATTTTTTTTTTTTTTTCATTTTTTGATCCAGTGGAAATTTCGATAAATCAATAAGTAATTACACAAGTAATCGTGAAATGGCAAATGATTACACAAGTGCAGCTCCTTTGGTGGTAAATAGCTGCGCTAAATTTTTTACGATAGTTTCACGATTACTTGATGACTAATTGACTGGTTTATCGTCAAATTTACGTATGAGTTGAGTATTTGTTCTTTTACTTGTATAAGATTTAGTCATAATAGGCAGTAGGAAAATATCACGTAAGGCATATCCATTACTAAAATAAGATGGTTATATCCATATAATTCAGTAACGAATGTTCAAAAAAGTTGTATAAAATTTTAATCACGTACGCGATTTTAATGGATAAGACTACGAACAAGTATTGGTATTACCATACATTGATAATTGAATTGAAGCATAATCGAGTGTATGTATACCTGAATTTTCTATTTCATTTTCAATCGAGATGAGTATTTTCTACAATACCTTTGATCGAAACCCGCGGTCCCTGGGTGGGGTTAGTTGAATCAAAAACAAAGAATCTTCCACTAGTTGTCGTGATTTTTAATTAGTGACGAGATAAGCCCGTGTAAAATAAAAAAAATAATTAATACGTGCCAAATCAGCGCGTTAAATGATCAATTAGGTTTAACAACCTCTCTAACGTAGCTTTAAGCTATTATTACATTAATATATAAAAGTATGTATATACATAAAAACTCTTGTAAAATATACGTATACATGGAGCATCGAATTTTTGATGCCTTTTAACACGTATCAAATACATTTTATTTACTCGATATTATTTCTTTCCAAAATTAATGTTTTTCGTGAGGTATATACATATCTTTGTATTCGCTTGAAATGTTTTATTTGAATGAAAAATGATATTTCCAACTGGTGTCCTTTGAGAATTTTATATATTAATAAAAATATACCTGGTAATAAAGCCATATCTGAAGCATCCACATATCTCGAAATTTATTGTTATACAATTAATTCTACTTATTTACGGTAACGCGTCTTGTACATTAATCCGAATCTATAAATAAATCAAGTAGTCGTCAATGACAATTGAAATAGTTAATATGTGTTTTAATTTGAAGAAAAACTGCCATCGAACTCGTGCTGTGCTAATTAAAGAAACCAAGACAAAAAGCTGGATTACCTTGCACTGGAATTCGTATTCTGAAAATAGCAAATGATCCATCGCGACGTTTCAAAACAAAACAACAAAAAACTTACATATCCTTCAATTTCTTCGCATCCTCGTACGAATATATACACACACACAAATATGTATATATATACTCACGAACATGGTCGTATAATCGCTATTTGAGAACACGAACGAATCGTGCGTCAAATTATCGTGTAATATTGTATAACGATGAGTATAACATTTTTACGATATCCTCTGATTTTTATCATTCCTTGTAGTCGGTAAGTTATTACAACAGCCAAATGTAGTCATTTAACAATTAAACGAGTAAAATACGAGAAAAAGTAGAGAGAGGCATTGGAATTGCTGTAAGTTGTATTATTTAATATGTTTTTTTAAGTAACAAAGATAAATACATTTTTTTTTTTTTTGGATAGTCATTTTATTTGCGAGTTTGAGAGGTCTAAAATGTTTGACTCCTCAATCAAATAATTAGAATTAAAATTTAATTCTGAAATTAAATTTATTTAAAACTTTTGTTAGACTTTTCTTAAATTGTTTACTAAAGACTTTTGCCATGGATTCTAATTCTCTGTAAATTTCCTTTTTCCTTACAAAAATGTACACGTTATTGTACCCTACTTTACATTTCGATATCGAAAACCTCAAAGTGCAGGTCAACAAGATCAAAAACTATCAGTATTTTATCCAAAGATGTGTATCTTTGCAATAAAAAAGAAAAGAAAAATGCTATCCCAAAAAGTAGATGTCGCATGTAAAAAAAAAAAAAGTAACGGTACATGTTTGTGCGTGTGTGAGAGACTGAAAAAAGTTGAGATTAAAAAAATAAGAGAGTTAATATTTATGCTAAAAATGGGAGAGGTGAGAAAAGAATTTTACTACATGGTACAATTGAATACATGTGAGGGAATTTTACGAAGAGGGTAATTAAAACAACGATGATATTTAATTTTGTTTTAACAGTATATAAAATTGAACATTTCATAGTTTACTAGTCACCAGGAATTAGCTTTTACAAATTATAATTGTCAAGTAAAAAAAGAAAAAAAGGAAAAAAAAAGAAAAAAAAAAAATTAAAAGGGAACAGATAAGATAGAAGCCCTTGTGTATGCTTTGGGTTGCGTTAAATCTTACGAAAATGTTTTTAAAGACAAGAAAAAAGGATGGCTGGTGTTTCGTTTAAGAGCTGAGAGACAATCAATTTCGTAAATAAAAGGAAAAAAAATACAAAGAGAAGAATCGTCGAATTATTGATCTAATTGTAAAATACGAGCGATGTACTATTTTAGAAAGGTGCTTCATTAGTTGACTGGAACATTTTTCCATTCGTACTATTATTGTGAACGTCAGAAATAAAAATAAAAAAAAACATTGATAATAGTACTTAATAACAAAACTGATGGAGTTAGTCAAGAGAAAGAATTTACGATTTTTGCTGTATGTACAGACTGAGATGCGTTCGTATGATACAGTGTAGATATAATACACAGAGAGTGAATGTTAAAAATTAAGTGAACACATCAATTACACTAACCAAAAAAATACCAGTACGTTTCCGTAACGTAATTATACATATTATACATATAAATTTAGAACTGTATTTTCGACCTGCACATTAAAACAAAGAAAAATACACACACACGTACGAATGTACGTTTTTCAGAGGCATAATTATTTAAGCTAAGATCGAACAGGAAAAAAAAACCTTATTCATATCCGTCAGAGACAAAAAAACGAGAATCTACAAAAAAAAGGCCCAGTTAACGATAAAAATTAAAATAACCTGGGTAAATAATAAGCGTAAAAATGAAAAAGTACCCTAACAATTTTTATCAACCGATTCGTAGATCTGTATAACTTAAGTATAATCTAAAAAAATTTGTAACACGAATCGCCGTAAACTTCATCGAAAATTATATTCTTAATATTTCCAGTGTTATAACCAATAAAACAATTGTTATACTGTGTGACATCCTTTATTTCGATTCAACCTCATACGTTATCCGATTAATAGCCCAGTTTTCCTTTCTTATGTTGTATTATATTTATGCATTCCTCAAAAATTCCATACAAAAAATATATATATATTTTTTTTTATCTATTCATTTTATGTATAATTATTGCAAGAAAAATCCTTTCTNCAGTGAAATAGTTGTATAAATTAAAATAAATCAGACTTCATGAATAATTTAAAAATGTATTTCGAAAGAAAGCCACGGAAAGTAGACATTCCAGCTTGTGTTAGATAAGATATTTTTATCAGTTAAAAAAATTATTTGCTCAAAGCTATTATCTAAATATGCCTTGAAATCTTGATGATAAAAGTTTTTAGCGTGTTAGATATTAATACAAGGAAAATCGTTGATTTTTTACTTGTATATGATGTTTTATAATACTGCATGGATAAAATAAAGTAAAAATTTTTATAGATGCAATGTCATGTGTGTGAAAACTTATATAAAAAAAAAAACCATGAGCAGTAACGTTTTGAGTAAAAATTTCAAAGTTATGGGTAAAATAATCGTTTTATTAATAATGAAATTATTTTTAAACACATCGATGCAGTAAGTATGAGCTCCTGTAAAATTTCACCTAATTTTTCTTACTAATATAATGCTATCAAGTAGAAAAAAAAACAAGAAAGGTTTTAATTTTTTTAAATGAGCATATCAAGCGATGTTGAACATTATTGCGATACTATACTTCATTGTATAATATGTTTTAAAAGCAATGTATTTTTTTTGTGAATTAAATCAGTGTATATCTGTTTACCAATAAAATTTTTTTATGTTTAATCTGAAACACTGCAACTATGAAGGCTTTAGTTAAATACACACACAAATGGATAAAGATTCGAAAATATGTTTTAAGGCTTCTGATTGATTCACGTCAATTTGTATGAGTATATCGAACCATTTTCTAATAGAAACATCATATAGCATAGTTATGCAATAAATCTCTTGTTCAATTTTAAGTGATTAAGTTGCATAACTCTATATGCGCAACATCAAGAAAACTGATTACATTTTTAAGACTCAGTGATTTGGTAATATAATGGGCCACACAAACTCTGATGCCCGCTTTTTGATGTGGAAAAAACAGTAGGCTCACAATGAGGAAAATCGAAAAAAATTCATGAAGCTTTACAATGCCATTACTCTTGTAACATAAAAGAAGATACCTACGTATAAATAAAATACATGTACTAGTAAAGAAGCATTAAATAGAAAGGAAATTTTGTAACTTTTTTGCTTGTTTCGCAAAAAAAGATTGTTTTCTACTCTCGTGGATACTAAAATTGTTGCTTGAAGTTTAAATATCTAACAATGAGGTGACTTTTCGTTGTACGTATGTCATTGATAATTTTTCTGAATTTTTATATCACCTGTTTCTTGACGAAACATTGTGAGGCTTCAGTTTACTTCTCGATTGCAGTCCATGGATCTTTGGAAATGAATTTGAAATAAATATAATCACATAAATGAAATATAGGCAGCCAAAACTAAATTAATATAACAGGATCAAACCAAACGATACAAGCTTGACTCGATCGCAAAGTTGCTGTTCGTCAATTAGTTTATTTGTTTAATTGTTTAACTCGTTTAAACGCATTTAGTTCATTGAGTGAGCTGGTCGATTTAATATTAAAATTAGAAAATGTGCAAACTGTATTTTTTGTATCAACTAAACCCCCAAAGATAAAAAAAATACGCTTAGAGTAGCAAGACAAATGTTACTTGGATTCTAGAGTCAAGAGAAAGACGATGAAGCTGTGCACAAAAAAGGGATTAGCCCTTTTTTACTTACACCCTGGCAAGATGGACAAATGTTTCACTGATGATTTGATGTCTATTTTGTCCAATAATTTCAGAATAACGAAAAATATCGTATTGTATATAAGTAGAAAATTATTTAGCAAATTATTCATCTTGACTCTGCTGCACAACAAATAATCGTTTCATTTGCATCTAAAAACAATGATTCATGCGTTTATAATCCAAATAGTTTTGATTTTATAATGTGTGCTCAAAACCGTGCAATGTGGATCGTATATACTTGAAAAAATACGATAGTTTAATTATCGGGTACTCCTAATCTCCTAAAATTTGTTATACCATCAGTCTCTTGATATGTTTTTAACGAAAAAATTACTTCAATGATATACTTAAAAAAATTATAGTCTATATTTTTTTAAGGTAACCTATTTGACAACTCCCAGTATTACTACTCAATACCTCTGAATCAGGTGATAAAAAATTTGCAAATCCAATTATTTAATTAAGTACTTGACTGTGGCAGTGGGTTAGGAGAGGGGGAAGTCGGATTTTCGTCCGCTACTGTCCAATGTCCACTCTGGCTTTAGCTGGCTGCTCTGGCAGTTTATCGGCGCGCGGCGCAGTGAGGTGACAACACACACGCCATCGCAGATTTTTTACTAGATTGGCGTCTAAATTTTCACTGTTTTTTTTTTTTTTTTTTTTTTTGTGGACAAAGTGCATCGTGTTAACAACAAATAAAAAAACAAAGTCATGGTTGTGGACGAGAAGGCGCAGATAAGGGAACTGCGCGACAAATTCCTCAGTAAACTCAAGGACGGGGAACCATCGGGTTCAAGTAAATGTTTATACAACTAACTTTAGTTCTTATGTTTTTGTATCGCTTTGACACGATGTTTAAATAATTGGGTGTAGAAGGCATGATTTTTCGTTTTATTTATTTTTCATTGCCCGTGTATTAGGTGATAGCTTTTGGTTTGTGTATATATGAGGTTATAATCGATCGCCTTTGTTGCGTTTAGCTTTTACTTTCGTTTGGCTTTACTTCTCTGTATATAATATAAAGTACACATGTGTTTCATAGTAAGTGCACAAAGCTCATTGAAGTGCCAATAGTATATTTATATATTTACGCAAAACTCGTTCCATACGTTTGTGAACGCAATAAAGTATTATTCATCCCGGTGCATGATCACACGTCAAGATTTTTTTGTTTGTCTTTGATGGTTTCGTCATGAAATGAATTATGAATGACGTTGGTGTTTTTCTTTCTGAAGTGGCTTGCCCATTTTTTTTTTTTTTTTTTCTTGTGCTAGTATAATTAGCGCTTTCGTACCTTTAATGCTATTTTACGTAAGTCAGGCTGAAAAAATTTACCTTTTCCTGGTGTCTTTTTGTTTGTTGGGAGCGGCTTGTTTTCATTTTTTTTGTCCAAATCAAAGGATTTGTTAATTATGACGTCTAGTGGGGCCAGTGAAATAGTTGTATAAATTAAAATAAATCAGACTTCATGAATAATTTAAAAATGTATTTCGAAAGAAAGCCACGGAAAGTAGACATTCCAGCTTGTGTTAGATAAGATATTTTTATCAGTTAAAAAAATTATTTGCTCAAAGCTATTATCTAAATATGCCTTGAAATCTTGATGATAAAAGTTTTTAGCGTGTTAGATATTAATACAAGGAAAATCGTTGATTTTTTACTTGTATATGATGTTTTATAATACTGCATGGATAAAATAAAGTAAAAATTTTTATAGATGCAATGTCATGTGTGTGAAAACTTATATAAAAAAAAAAACCATGAGCAGTAACGTTTTGAGTAAAAATTATGAGCGTTAATTGGGAGTCGTTAAATAATAAAAATAAGTCTAAAATTTTTTAGCCAAACTTATACTACACAGCTGTCATGCCAATGTTTACACATGGGCAGACATCTTTTAAGAGGTGAGAAAAAAAGTTTTGCTATACTGAATTCAAGGATAACAGGCAGTTTTTTCAGCACATGCTGCCATAAGGTCAATGCATGTATACAATACAGATATTACCATTAATTGTATGCTATTCCATTTCTGATTCAATCATTTATTGATACGATTCTGGGTTTGGCGAATAAACAATGGATATATTTTTTTTATTTGACTGTCGGTCCTGTATTTTTTGCCAAAATAAATTTAAAGTTGCTAATGGGTGTGTAAAAAATAGATACTGCTATATTTTGATGATGACACATTTATGTGGCCAACACACCAATTACCTATCAGTCAATTTGTGATTTTGACTAGTTCAAATATTAATTATTTCTCTGAAAAGCTTTGCTTTCTATGGCTACTTTTAAATACTTAATGCGATGTACATTGATATATTTTCTGATAATTATCCTCCATGTATTTTTAGAAAATTTTTTTTTTTCATGTCACTTATGTTATTTTATGTTTTTAGGCGATTTTCATCCAGCAGACATTGAAAGAGTGTCATCTAATGACGACTGGCTAAGAAGATTCTTGGAACACAACGAATATAATATTCAAGATGCCTTAAAAATGTTATGGGAGAGTTGTGAATGGAGAAGAAATTTTGGTACAAACGGTACGAATTTTTTCAATGTTGCCTACCTTTCATACTAATAATTTGAAAACACTAAAGCTGTTTTTTTTTTCTTAGACATTACTGAAAACAACGTTAGAATGGACTATTTAGAACATGGGGTCTGCTACAGTTATGGAAAGGATAAAGATGGAAAAAAACTGTTTGTCATAAAATCCAAATTACACACAAAGGGATCAAAAAATTTTGCAGAGCTACAAAGGTGTATTGTTTACTGGTTTGAAAGATTAGAAAGGTAAAATATTGTTAGAGTTCGCAAATAATTACCACCAATACAAATAAAAAATACTTACAACCAATAAAATATTTTTCTTCAGAGAAGGGAATGGAAACCAAATATCGTTATTCTTTGATATGATCGACGTGGGCCTATCAAACATGGACATGGAACTGACAAAATATTTGATTGGATTGTTCAAGAATTACTACCCTAACTTTTTAAATTACATTATTATACTAGAGATGCCATGGATACTAAATGCCACATTCAACATAATCAAATCTTGGTTACCAGCTAAAGCTCTTCCAAAAATAAAGTTTGTCAAAAGAGCAACTTTAAAAGAGTATGTTGATCCAAGTGTAGCATTAAAATCCTGGGGAGGCAATAATGAATATGTTTTCAAATTTGTTCCTGAGGCACAATCTAATGGTCTTGTTAATGGAAAAACAGATAACAAAAAGGTATTTATTTTATGCAATTAATTTTATAGATTGGTGTTTTCATGCATGAACAAAGTTTTTAGTAATTTTTGTAGTCAGTATCAGTTATAATTCATAACTTTGCAGGTGCACTTTGCCGAAAATTCGCCGTTAACTGAGCAAGCTGACAGCACTTTTGGTGATAAATTACCAGACCAAGCATGTAAGGCATTACTAAATCTCGTAGAATCATAGGTACAAAATTACTGATTCTGTACCTTTTTTTAAAATACATTTTCAGTGTTGTCTGTCGAACCAGAAGTATTAACTTTCACAAAATCTGGAAATGATGTGATATCCAAGACAATAACGTTGAAAAATAACTCATCAGAGAGTAATGTAACTTATAAGGTCAGTATTTACGTAAATATGAAAACCAACCCTGCCATATAACGTAACTTACAGTAAACTGAGTTTTTATTATCATTAAATTTTAGATAAAAACAACTTCACCAGAGAAATTTAAAGTTCGGCCAAATACGGGAATTCTGTTACCCAGTCAGTCAGTTTCGGTGACAATTACATTGCAATTGGGATACGATCATCGAAGTCTTGTTCCGAATGACAGGTTCCTCATCATGTGTCTTCCCATCGAAAATAAAGAAATGACCAATACTGATCTAATTGACTTCTGGAAGGTATTTTAAATATACTCAGTTTACGATATTCGTTGGAATAGAGTATTAACAAAAAGTTTACCATATTTCAGAGTAATGGAACAGCTTCAGAACAGCATAAATTAATTTGTAGGCTTGGCAATGACAGTTTCGATGGCCTCAAATCTAGTTTAGTTAACAATGGGGCTGGAGATGAAAATTTAATTAGCAAGTTGTTTACCAAGGTTTGAAAAAAATTTTCGTTTTATCACCAAGTGAAAGAATTAATCCTGAACCAACTAACATAGCTTACAATTTAACAGATTTCTCAGCTGCAAGATGAGCAAGCCAAACTAGAAAGCAGTATCACCTCGTTAAAACGTTTATTTGTATTTTTCGGGACTCTTGTAATCGTGGTGTTAGCTTGGTTCGTGCACTCGCTAAACAGTAATGTTCAAAGTTTTATGAAGGAACAAAGTCATACTAGTGTTGTGGAGACGATTTTACCAAGGCACGATGAAATCTAGTCATAAAGTGTAGCTGAAATTTTCCTACTACAGTACAATTGACTGAAATTTTTTTCTACCATAGGGGCTATTTCAAGGGCTATTTGTAATTCAACCATTTGATAAACTGTTTAATCGCTGGTTTGTTTTTTTCACGTAAGTCTATATTATTCAATACTGAAGGAAAGGCAGTGGATTAGTTATTTTTTCTCAAAATATTTGTTACTTTTTGTTAAACATCAAGGTAAACTGTTACAACTTTGAAAACGAAAATGTTGTACATGAATAAGTTGTGAAAGTTTTCCAATTTTTTATAAATTGTTTGCGTCTAACACTTGTTATTTTTACACAAATTTTCTCTGAAATCTAAATTTATCACGTATATTAAGAGACAGCACATAAGCATGTTCAAAACTAGAAAGAACAAGAGTTTATTGTGCGCTTGAAATAAAAACGCTTATGTGTACTTTTTTACCAAAAAAGAAGTGTAAGGTTAAGCTAAGAAGATTTATGAGACTATTTTTATAAACTTTTATCTAAATCACATATGTTGAATTTTGGTGAAACAGATTATTTAAATTATTTGCATTCCATTACTTTGATTGTCAATGAAAATTATTTTCTGACAATAGTGGTCCAAGTCTCAAAGGTAGAAAGTATGACAAGAAAGTTTATCACGCTTTAGTGCATTTACTACTTGTATTCATTATTGTAGATAGTTGCTGATAACCTGTAGACTTTCAATGCAAAATCATTACAAAATAAAAAAAACTGTACATACATATTATATACTTCGTTTGTTTAAAATACCTTTTTCAAATTTTTAAATTTAAATTGTGTTTAACTGAAACATACTGTGAAAATTATAAATTGATTTCGCCTAAAAATAAATATGATTTTAAAAAGTTCGAATCATGTTTTAACATGTTTTATTAACATTAGCTCTTAGTTACAAAATTTGTAGATTCATACAAATATTTCTATAGTCTTTAGAACAATTACCAAACAAGTTTTGTCCATTTAACAAAATAAAGAGTCACCTTTATTATTTATGGTAACAAGCAAAAAGTTTTACTTAGTTTGCACCAAAGCATCATACATCTTTTTATGGCGTAATGCGTTTAGGATCACGTGGGAACATGGATGTTTTACGAATATTATCCAAGCCCAAGTAAAGCATAACAACTCGTTCCATGCCAATACCTCCACCAGCATGAGGTGGACATCCATATCTGAATGCATCGATATAGGCTTTAATTTTTTCAACATCAACCCCATGATGTTTTGCTCGTTCAGTTAAAAACTCTGGGTCATGGATCCTTTGAGCACCAGAAATAATTTCCTCTCCACGCATGAACATATCGTAGGAATTTGAGGCTTTAGGATTGTTAGGATCAGGCATGGTGTAAAACGGTCTGACAGCCAATGGGTACTTGTCAAGGATATAAAAATCAGTGTCGTATTTAGCTTTAATGATCTTTCCTAAGAGCTTCTCACTTGGTGTCGACAGGTCATCTTCGTCGCCCATTTCGACCCCTGCTTCTCTCAACAGGTTGACCGCCTGTGAGAACTCCAGTACCAAGGGAGGATCGAGGAATTTGAAAGGCTCAATCTTGTACTGCTGGTTAATGATTTTGATCTCAGTCTCGTATTTTTCTTGAAGTCCCCTAAAGAGATCGGTAAACATCTTTCCGATTAGTAACATCACTTCGTGGTAATGATACTCGAAAGCCATTTCCAAATCTAGGCCTACAAACTCGGTTAAATGCCTGTGAGTATTTGAATCCTCCGCTCTAAAAACAGCTCCAACTGTAAAGACTTTTTCAAAGTCAGCAGCGATGGCCATTTGTTTGTAAAGCTGGGGCGACTGTGCCAAATAAGCGGAGCCCTTGAAATATGACACTGTGAAGACATTAGCTCCACCTTCACTGGCAGCAGATATGATCTTTGGCGTGTGGATTTCAACGAATCCCATGTCTGTTAAAATATCTCTGAATAGTTTGCAAACGGCAGCTTCAAGCCGGAAAATAGCCTGATTTGCAGGTGTTCTCAAATCCAGAATCCTGTTGTCTAATCTAGTGTCCTGATTAACCTTAATATTCAAATTGTTTGAGTCATTGTCGTCACTGACAGGCCTGGCAGCATCTTCAATCTGCAAAGGCAGCTGTGACTCTGATGCACTCACAACAAAAATCTGTTCAATGTGAATCTCCACATCCTTCTGAGTACATGACTCAATAGGATTGGGAACCTTCTGCACTTTGGCCTCAACATCAATAATCGATTCTTTGGTAACGGTGGATATAAACTTTACCATCTGCTTGCTTATCTTGTCGCTGACGGCAGACAAGCCCTGAATTGAGTGAGACTGCTGTCTCAGGACAATGAAGCACTGTTTGCCTTTTGCTCTGCTGGTGTGCAGTCTACCCCTGATCCACACCACCTTCTCGGCAAACTCGGGCGTCAAATCCTTGATGTGGACGAATTTGCGTTCGTTATAAAGTTCACCACTCTGTATCATCTTCATCTCTCCGTATCTGCCTTTGGACACGTCCCTACCTTCATCGGCTGTTTCATTTCGTTGTTGAGGTTTTTTTTTCGACAGTTTTTCTTCTTTCTTTTGCAGCTTTTTCAGTGCCGATTTTGTCATGGTTACACCAGTTTCACCCTCGGCAGGTGCGACTTCATTCTCTAACGTCATTCTTTCTGAAAATGATGCAAATAGTACACGTGGTTGAATAATACGTAGGTACCTACTGTAAATATATTGGGTGAATTTTATCAGTAATGGCTAACCTACAAACTTCTCTTCTGCTCTTCTAGTGTCGATACTGTCGATGATAAGAGTCGATATAGCACAATTGAATAAATAAATGCAAACGCACTATAATTTGTGTTAGTTTCCTAAATTCGTATAAAATTAGTTGATTATTTATCACTAGGTATATGTCGTCTGTACACTGGTACACTGGTAGAGATTATAGAATATCTTACTCTTCTTGCATAGAAGGCCAGATCGGCCGTTTTCGCGTCCGCAGTATTTTCGGGTGGAAGATAAATTAAACGCTTGCCGCAAATACCACAAAAAATGTCAACTTTTTATTATCTATTTATCAGATTAGTTGCGGCTGGTTTATAATTAACTACATGGCTCTGCTGTAAGTTGTAATAATTATTTGGATCAGCGCCATCTAGCGGTCTCTATTTTTTGGCCAAAAGTGGCTCCTAAAATTCTGAATCAGAGCAATCAGGATTAGAGCCACTTAGTCAATTATAAACCAGCCGCAACTCATGATGAAGCTATTAAATAAAAAAATAACAATACATGTGTTTTTGGCGGCAAGTTAATAATCTATTTTCTACCAAAAAATTGACCTCCTATGTATTTATACTTTTGAAGATAAATTTTCGAGCATAAGATAGATTGTTAACATGCCGCCAAAAACACATGTATAATTATTTTTTTATTTTATAGCTTTGTAATGAGTTGCGGCTGGTTTATAATTGATTAAATGGCTCTACGAGCTAAAGCTCTGGTTCAAAAGTTTGGGACCACTTTTTAGTTCAAAAATCCGCAACGCTAGATGGCGCTGATCCAAATAATTATTGCTATTTACAGTAAAGTCACTTTATTAATTATAAACCAGCCGCAAATAATTTTAAAAATAGAGAATCGATAGTTGACATTTTTTATGCTGTTTGCGGCAAGCTTACAATCTATTTTTTATCCAAAAACCGACCTCTACAAGTAGATAAATATTCAACTTATCTTACATGGCTTATAAAATCTACCATATTTACAAAATTACAATACTTTGGACCTTTTACCATTAACTCACGGAAGCACAGCCCTTTAACTTTATAGTTTAAATAAACAATTAATTTATACAATATGTACACACCAAGATTTGTGTTACAGAAATCTTGAACAATGATTAAATAGATACATATAAAGTAATCAGTCGAAAAGAGACAACTGAAGAAAAAAGACTTAAAAAAGAAGTTCAGTCACACAAAGAGTCTCCTAAGAATGGAGCATTGGATCTCACTAAATAAAAAATACATTTACTACAAAGAAGTAAATTTTAAGTATAATAAATTAACAAAGAACCCAACCTTCTCTGATTAAGTGAGATCCAATGCTCTATTTTTAGGAGACTCTTCCTGTGTGACTGAACTTCTTTTTTAAGTCTTTCGTCTTTTCAGTTGTCTCTTATGGACTGAGTACTTTACGTATCTACTTAATCATTGTTCAAGATTTCTGTAACACAAATCTTGGTATGTACATATTATATAAGTTAACTGTTTATTTAAACTATAAAGTTAAAGGACTGTGCTTCCGTGAGTTAATGGTAAAAGGTCCAAAGTATTGTAATTTTGTAAAAATGGTAGATTTTATAATTATTTGCGGCTGGTTTATAATTAATAAAGTGACTTTACTGTAAATAGCAATAATTATTTGGATCAGCGCTATCTAGCGTTGCGGATTTTTGAACTAAAAAGTGGCCCTAAACTTTTGAACCAGAGCTTTAGCTCGTAGAGCCATTTAATCAATTATAAACCAGCCGCAACTCATTACAAAGCTATAAAATAAAAAAATAATTATACATGTGTTGTTATTTTTTTATTTAATAGCTTCATCATGAGTTGCGGCTGGTTTATAATTGACTAAGTGGCTCTAATCCTGATTGCTCTGATTCAGAATTTTAGGAGCCACTTTTGGCCAAAAAATAGAGACCGCTAGATGGCGCTGATCCAAATAATTATTACAACTTACAGCAGAGCCATGTAGTTAATTATAAACCAGCCGCAACTAATCTGATAAATAGATAATAAAAAGTTGACATTTTTTGTGGTATTTGCGGCAAGCGTTTAATTTATCTTCTACCCGACAATCGACCTCCTATAAGTATATTCACTGTATAAAATTGTGATTATTATTTTTAGTTCATGTTAGTTAAAAACGCGGACAAGCGTACGAAGATGTGTAATAGTAGTACTAATGAATATAATATTGGATAGGTAATGAATATAATATTACATACATACATATAAACAAATTTGTAGATTATTTAATGAACATTTTAATGAAATTCTAACTAATAATTTTTATGACAAATGACGTCACAGGCTATGCTTTTACACTTAATCGTTTTGAGTTTTGTTATTTCTATATGGTAGTTTCTTGCTTATCTAGCTATTCCAGTTTTTTATTCTTTTGTCTTACGTAGCTTTTCAAATAATTTGAAGGAATTTTTACCATCACAAATATTACTACTGCTGTGTCTGACATATATACCGTGTCGTGTGTAAAAGCTGTAAAGCACTGTATAAGGCACTATAGAAGGTGCAAAATCAAAGAAAAAAGTATTGAAAAAGCAGCCGACAGGTGTGTGGCGTGTGGTGTGCATTGCTGTTGCTGATGTAAGTGCTGTAACTGAAGGTGGTGCAGTTGCTCTGTGTGCTGTGCTCTTATTGTGTTGAAGATAAAGTCGGTGCAATGGGTAAGTAACATCTTTTTGATTTAAATAAACTTTCCACTTGTATGTACCTTTAAATTATTAGAGTCATAGTTAAGTAAAGTGAGTACTTTTGCAACAAAGAATTTGTATATTTTCACTTTCTTAATAGACTTTCAAATAAGAGGTTAAAGTTGCTGCTATGATTGCAGGTAGTTGTTTAAAGAGATGCTTGAATTAATTTGGCAAGTGCAATAAATCACAAGTCTAATGGTATTTCAAAGCCATGCTTATCCTTTAATTTCACGTTGACGCTGTTGATTTCATTGATTTCTCGAAGCAAAGCATTTGTTGTACCTTGTCGTACAACTCCAAAAATATAACTATGAATTTCTTAGCTACAGTTTTTATTTAATTTATTATAGGTGGTCTACTTAGTTACTTTCAAAACCTTCTGGGTAACAGGGAAATGAGGATTTTAATCCTTGGCCTAGATGGTGCTGGAAAAACAACAATCTTGTACAGGTATTTTTGTCAATGTTTTTCACCATAACTCCATATTCATCACTGTTTTTCACTAATTATAAATGTATTGCAGACTCCAAGTTGGAGAGGTTGTGACTACTATTCCAACCATAGGCTTCAATGTGGAACAAGTTACGTATAAAAACCTAAAGTTTCAAGTTTGGGATTTGGGTGGTCAGACAAGCATAAGGTGAGAGTATACTAAGTAATGATGCAACTTAATTATAATCAAACATATGTGATTGCACCATTATTTTTCGTTAGGCCTTACTGGAGGTGTTATTACACCAATACAGATGCTATAATTTATGTCGTTGATTCTGCAGACAAAGATAGAATAGGCCTATCCAAAGAAGAGTTGATGAACATGTTAGAGGTAAGTGATGAGCATTTATACAACTTTTTGAAATTGGTATTTCGATTGTTCAACATTTGCTGTTATTATTGACATGTCGTTTTGAGTACAAGATTTCGTTTGCTACGGTAATCCGTATTTTAAATGACTTAGATTTCAAACGGACTTAAATCTTATACTTCTTATTACTCATACATGTTGCAATTCATCTATGTTATTTCAGAGTAAATAACTAAGATGTCAGAAGTTTTTTTTTTCATGCTTCTGCTGCTTCATTAAAAGTTTATTTTTATTTTTTTAACAACATTTACATAGTTATCAAGTTATCAAAAAAGTGCAGATTTTAGCATTAAAATGATTTCAGGAGGATGAACTCCAAAACGCTGTCCTAGTAGTCTTGGCTAACAAACAGGACATGCCGGGCTGTTTAACTGTAGCTGAAGTGCATCAAGCGTTGGGTCTGGATGCACTTAAAAATCGTACCTTCCAAATATTCAAAACTTCAGCGAAAAAGGGCGAGGGTCTAGACCAAGCCATGGACTGGCTGTCGAACGCGCTGCAGGTTAAAAAATGATCGAGCGCCTGTCACTCGTATGTAACAACAACGGGACACTTTGCACATCAGACAGTCACATTATTATCAAAATCATCCTTGCCGTCTGCAGGACTAGTCCATGTGGCTCTCGTTACGTGAATTTCCAGCTTTGCTGTCAGGAATTCCACATAATAGATGGGGACCTATATTCCTGTGCTGATTTGCATGATTAAAAAAAAAAAAGGAAATATTAAAATAATGATAATAATGATAACGTCATGTGAAAAATCTATTTACGAGAAAAAGTCTGACAGAAGCACACAATTGAACTAGATGTAACGTATGTTTTAAAATGCCGTTATTCTCGCATTCTCGGTGGTATGGCCCCATATTTAAATACTTACACAAACAAATATACCTACTGTGTTTACTTTTTGCAAGACTTTTTCTTACAACGGGTAGGTTTAGTATTTTAAAATACATTTATATATATATAATATAAACAAGTGTAGGTATAGGTACGTGGATTCTGAAAGTTTTGTCTCGTCTGTTTTGACAGAGTACTTTGTTAACTTTTGTAATATGGGTCGCATTATATACACCTAATTCTGTACAAGTACTTTCAAAGCTCAACTGCTTAGTTTTTTTATTGTTTTAAATGAAAATACGGTATTTTTTTCGATTACCATGTATTTAAAAAAATATTTAATTAATTTCATGTATAATATTCGTGAAATTGTAAGTTTACGAGATTATTGTTCATTGCATAGTGTGTACGCGTGTTTGTATGTGTGTTACAATGTACGAATGTCGGTAAGGTAGGATTTTCGAGTTATCAAGAATAAAGCCATTGGCGTTACACGAGATCACTTCGATGACTAAATAGTAGTAAAAAAAAAACTACATAATTTTATTTAAGCAATTTGTTAAGTTGGTTCATGGAAGCCGAGCATGGCTCTTTTTATTGTACAAATAATGTGTGACTTTGATGGACACCAAGCAACTATCTTATTATTTATCACATAAACTTTATCTTTTTCCATCTGCACGTCCACCCCTTGATTTCTATTCAATTACATATACACTTGACTATTACAATGAATACCTAAAAACAAACTATGTAAATCAAAAGCAGCCAAGTAAAAACAACTGGCCCCAAAGTGCGTCTCTCACGTCGATGGTGACAAAAAATTATGAAACGAGCGTAAATAAATTATACGATTACATTACGAAAAGTCGTTGCGTTATTGAAGGTAGTCTTCGTCCCACTGTCCATCTCCCTTTGTTTATCACTCCGAAAGGGAAAATTGAGTCTGCATAGAAGATGTATTAAACTGAAACGTTTTTCGATCCAACAGCTCGCGCGCCTCCCTTCTAATTCGATAATATACAATACACGTGAAGTCCCAGGGCACAATTTAAAATTTACGGGGTCCAATATGTAGTGGGAGAAGGGAGGAGGGGTACACACCTTTTCTTTCCAAAGAAGAGGCGCGCGCGTATGGCGCATTACGTGGGCGTGAAACGAATAATTTCGAAGCGGGGATGATCCCTTCTCGGACGATCGTATATCAAAGTGACGAGGAGGATGCGTACATGTAGCGCCTAACAATACGAATTATCGTCGAAGCGAGTAGGGCTGTTGCGTTTTGTGCGCCCTCGCTTTGCTCCTGCAGCCTCTGGCTTTGGGTCCCTTTCCTGTGTTATACGTATATCTATGGTCCAATGCTGATGCTCGACAGTGTAACGGGTTTTGGATGGTTTAGAGAAATTTTTGTTACACTTTTTATTTTACAGCTGTTTAACTTGCCTCTGAGGAATCGGCCTGGTGGTATTTGTTTCTGCGATTTTTGCCCTTCGAAAAGTGTTACAGCTCAGAGTTTCGTGTGTATAAATTTAAAGAATAAAATTTAATAAGAATTTGATAAATGGCAATTTAAACTGTTACTGAGCAATACTTGTCGCGACATCACCACCATTTTGCTCGAAAAAACTTGAGCCATTATTTTCTGTGTCGGAATCTTAACGCAATTTTCATTCGTTTTTCACGCAGAGGTTTTCACGAAACATTTCAAAAAATGTAGTCATAAGGAGACTTAAACGCAATTACTTTATGGATTTTTAAACACTTTCAAGGAAACTATTTTTCCTGATTAAAAATTTTTCATTTACTATTTACAGTACAATACTGAGAAAATTTTTATTTCTCTCAAACATGAAAGTTAAATGTAAAACATCTGAAATAAAATACAAAAAGTGTAAATAATTTTTCAAAGACATTTACCCTTTTTTTTATTATGTAGTAATTAAAAAAAATATATTTATCTAGCATAATCAATGCTTCACGCTTTGAGTACAAAAAATTATGTACTTAAAAAAAAAAAAAAAAACATTGAAAAATCCTGTTTACGAGTCACAAAACTTAAACGTAAACCAACTAATCCCTTTTTATTTGAACTGTTTTTTTTTATTCCACTACTATTGAAGTTATTGTTAAAACTCCTTGATGCAGATTAAATTCTCAAGACAATAGAAAATACGGTACGAAAACACTCTTTCTTCAATAAACTTTGTAGCCAAGCTACATAATGTTTATATTTAATTTTCACCCTAAAATGTAATCGTCCATACTCCCGAAACATAAATCGGGAGTAAAATCATTTTAAAATCAATTAAAATTATTGTAAAAGCGATATATTGGTAACTTTAGCCGCTGTATGTATGCATGGTTATTTTACCGTGGAGGGATGAGCTACCCACCAGACAAAGTACTACAAATACGTACCTATACGTATCCAAGTGTAACCACCACATACGCGTCGTCTAATACGCATTTAATGAGGCAGCCGACGCGTGCGAGGGGCAGAGCAGACCGCAGCCCAGCGCGCGACCATCTGCGCGTTTAAAAAAACAAAAGAAAAAAAAAAAAAAGTAATAATCATCAGGCCCTCGGGCTCCCAAAACTCTCCGGAGATGGCAGAGCCGAGATTGGCCCGATCTCTAATATTACAAGCTAACGAGCCCTTCCGCGCCTGAGCGCGCGCTTGATTCCCCTCCACCAGTACCTTTTCTCCTCCTCCTTCCTGGACACAACTGATTTACGATTTTTAATACCTCGCGTGTGTACAACAATACACGCGTACGGGCGCCCGATCTCTCGCTTGCGATCGCCCGATATTAGACAAAGTCATTTCGAAAAATTGTGGAGCCGGAGGAAAATGACTGGACGCGTGCAGCAACACGCAGAGAGGAATTTGATTTTTCCGAACAAACTCGGAGGTGTGGGAGATATCTCCTGTATCTTGTACAAAGAAACACATGTACATGAGCTTACCTATACAGATATATATGTACATCTCGGAATTTTTATTCACGACGAAAAATAACAATTTTCTAGCAACACCGTCAAGCAATTATTGTGGCAGCCAGTTGCACAACATGCACACTTTTTAACCACTAAAATTTTATGCGACCCGCGTGTACCAGCTGTAAACCGTAGCGATATGTAAATTCTCGCTTCCGATATACATTATATACATGTATTCGTTTATTATGTAATTGCCCAAGCGTAAACATGATTTTTTTTCTAAACCATTAAATCCAAGCGTGACCGAATATTTACCCGTAATAAGTACGCAAGAATTTATAAACACGTACGTAGAAATAAATTACGTAAATAACCAGTAAGCCGCTTCGTAACGATGTATGTGGCGTGTGATGAAAAATTTCTACGATTTATCCGAAAATTCTGAGGAAGTGCGAAATGATACAACCGTACGGTAGAACCGTGAGCTAATTTAATACGGCCATCGGGTGAAAATGGCACTCTGAGAGAAAAAATTTCTTGGATTCCAGAAAGTATTTGCTAGAATAGTACGAAAAGAATAATTTTTTTAAACAAGATATTTTTATTTGAAATTAATATTTTTTTAAAGTAAGAAAAGTAATCTTACGTCAAGAGGTGATTTATTTGTTACTATTCCGAGAAACTTTTTTTTCAGTGTAATTAAGTTGTACGAAATCTTTAAAACAGTTGACGTTCAATTGATAAGTATACATTTATTTGAAATTCAAAAGAATAGCACGTATACCCACTTGCCCACCCGTAAAAGCTAGATTATTTCGTGTTAGAAATTCACCGAAAATCGGCCAAATTATAATCCAAAAACAAGGCACCGCTCCATCACCTTCAAAAAAAAAAAAAAAAAAAAAATCCTCCTCTTGACGCTTCGGCTATCGAATATTAATCACCCCTTAAATGGTCCGTCCGACATTTATATGCTATGATCGATGGACCTCGGGCGCGATACCACGCGTATATCGATCATAATTTTCACGTTCCCGAAAAAAAAGGGACGCTTTTCCACGCTCGTTAGGAGAGTGTTAACCCGAGGCGTAGGTATGTATAATATACGAACAAAAGGTGTACCACCACGCGGTGTAATATGTAGACCAAAAGATGGTATCTGCGGGATGCAGTCGAAAACAAAAGGAGAGAGCGGCCCCTGTGTGTATTACGATCGGAGGAGAGATCGGTATCTCTTCCTCGCTGCGGGGGACTCGGGTTATTGCGGCCTCGAGGCTCTCGCGCACTTATTTATATTGACCGGATTAGGAGCATAAGAGTACGAAATCGACGGGTTACGAGGGTTGATGCTTTTTGGTTTTTGGCGGTGCGTCTGCAGGGCTCTCGGAACGAGGAGGGAGATCGCATCGCGGCATCCGATTTTTGAATAAAAGTCGGCTGCCTCTCGTTTTCTGGCTTGAAATATTTCAATTTTTGCCGGGTGGGAGGGTTTAATATGATGCACAGTATTTGGTACGCGGCTTAAGTATATATTATGTGGGTCGGGTAAAGTGGGTGTAAGTATCGGTTATTTTATGCGATGGTCACATTTATTATAATTATATGAATCGTCAATGACTTAATCACTAAATCGGTCAACCTGATATTTTTATCGGTGAAGGATACGTGATGTATGTGAAAGTATATGATCTCATTTGTACATTAAAGGATAAAAGTGGTACAAAAAAACGGTATTAATAATCTCACATCCGTGTGAGTCCATGGTATAATATTCAAAGTGAATGATTTTTCGTTAGAGCAGATTTTTGTTTAAAATATCTTAATGAAGTTTTTTTTTACTCATTATCAATCGAATAAATTAAAGTATTCACATATAACATTTTAGATCACGTACATTTCTTAGAAAAATTTACTTTGATTGATCTATAAAGTCTAAACGTCCCTCAAGTCTATGAACTTATATATTTTTCAGGATTGCAATTTGTTTAAGATATTTTTTATTTCTTTCTAGGTCACTTTGTCTCCTATCTTTCACGATAAAAGTCAGTACCAAATAATATACAACGATAAGCAAAGTTTGTGGCTACATCACAAATAAAAAAAATAAAAAAATCGTTGTCTTTCACCAAAATACATCAGTCAGCCTCTCTTTCCGTAACTCGAGGTACAAACAATTTTTTGTCCAGCCCCGCAATAACGATTAGACCCAATCAGTATAATCTTCCACCCGAAACCAGTTCACTCACTTGCAAGTATACCTCCTTTTCAACTTATACGTACCCACACTCGCGTTACGAGATAATTACAACCGATCCAGCTCGCGATCATGCTTTGACAAATCCGAGCGCGCCGCTCGTGTAAAAAAAAGTCATTTTCGTCATGCTCGAGTATCACCAAAGCGCAACAACATTCATTATTTATCACAACTCCGTCGATTATTCACTGCCTATACCCCACGTACGCGCAACGCGTAAAGGCTGTCTCTCGATCTCTGAAATATATAACTCTCGCGACTGACGCTCCTTCCGGGGTGTGGTACCGATCTCGTGTACATGTAATGTCATACACTTATTACACGGTGGTTTGCTTTTTTTTTCACGAAAATGACAAAACCGAGGATTATACTCCCTATTGGCTCCAGCGCTGGTGCTTATTAATTTACGCCCCGAACGCGCTTCTCCGCGTCATGCCCCTCTGTACCCCGCAGTATACATACACGGGTACATATATATGCAGTATCACGGGTGCGGGATCGCGTGCGCCAAGTATATATCGTTCAGTCATCGGCGCAGCTGCGCGTTTCTTCTTTTTCTTTTCGGGTGTATATAGTACCTCCGAAACGCAGGGAGGGAGAGAGCCGTGGCTCTAATTAAGGGTGTATCGGGGAGGGAGATCGATACGAGCTCTCGCGCCGACGTTTTAATGGGTACTCTTTGGTGTGCGCGCGACTCGAGATGCAGAGGTGACGGATCGCTGTCTCCTCGCCTTCGTGCAATTTGAATATACCTGGACTTTTGGTTGCGTGCAGTCGCAACTTTGTAATTTATTTTTTTAAACTATCGTTTATTACGCAACAACGTACAGTCACTACCGATGTTTCAATGAGAAGTTTAAGCCCCTCGCTTTTTTTTAACCAATCGCGAGGCTCACCTTAAAAAAATTGCAATTTAATGATACCGTCAGGCAAAAACCGAGTACAGTATCACAAACTCGACGGGGGAAGTGAACGAGAGATACAAGTCCCGCAACGGGACACGTGTCGCTTAGCAGGTAAAAATCCGCCAAAATTCCAAGGCATCCCCCGAAATTTTTATTCCACTCGTCTAGGTAACTTCCGCCTCGCGACGACCTTGCGTCATACCCATGTACACACGTGTGCATAGGTATATACACAGCCATCTCGCACCTCGTCCTCGCGTAAATGTGCTTGGCATGCATCCCCAAAGGGAGCGCGTTGAATATATACCGTCCCCGGCCCGGAATCTCGATTATCCAGCGGTTTTTACGAGTGAATGGACTCATTCAGTTGCTCACGCGCCCGTGCGTTATATGGGCGCAGCTCACCTTTCTCGGGTACATTATTACATAGGTATAGGGCCCCTCGCGCGCGTATTTCCCCCCCCCCTTCCCCCCTCGTTTTCTTCTCCTTCGTTTCGGTCTTTCTTTATTATTTTTTATGGTTTTGGCGAGGAGGAGCATACAAAGGGAGCCACGGGCTCGGAGGTAATGAACGCTGCACGCACGAATTAATTTTTCGTTAAGCCGCGTAGCTCGCACGCGCGCTCGCACTTTTCACCCTCTTTGCGTGCTTCTTTTTTTTTTTTTTTTTTTTTTTTTTTAAGAGTGTGGTTCCACATCACTTTTGTTGGCACTTTTTCTTTTTTCAATGCCGTGGAATTCGATGATTTTTCACGAGTTAACGATGTTTCGTTCTCGTAACACACTCGAATAAACGAAGAATCAGGGGGTGGGGGGAAAGGAAGCGGAAGGAAGTCCCGAGAAAACGGTTTTCCATCTGTGGCGACGATAATTGCGGATTCTCGGGAAAAATCGTTGCTCGGAGAGAAGAAGGAAGCGCACCCCGTGGCCACTCGAGACAATGGTTGGAGGCGCCAAGCAGCATCTTCGTGGAGCCTTTTTTCTTCTTCTTCCCCTTAATCGTTCAACGCCCTGGCAACCGATCAAATTAGTCCCTCGTGTCGTGACATCGAGTGGTGTCGACGTGGGAAGGAAAAGCTTCGAATCATTTCCGCGCCAATGCCTTGGACCTCTGCAACGCGGAACTCGAGAGGAGAGAGAGAGAGAAGTCGAGGAGGCGCGTTCAGAAAAGAAAAGAAAAAAAACAATAAACTGCAGTAATAACGAGTATCGAGCAAGGAAATCTCGAGTGAGGCTGTGTGAATGCGTGCGGCAAAAAAAAAGGGCGGAAGTCATTAGGAGCTACGAATAATCGATTCCGAAGGGAAGGGACTAGGAGATCCTTTTAACCGATACTGTCACAAGTTTAATTGAATTCGCGCTGTGTGTGTGTATACGTGCACGCGCGTGCGGTCCTCCAAATCGACTTCACGAGCTCTACTTACGTGTTGGGGCTTAGGTGGGGAACATGGTATATGGTCCTCGATTTTGTGGTGCAAAAAGCTCAGATACATTTTGCTACATTTTTTTTACTTGCAAAATCATGTAGTTTTTCTTCATCTATAAAAATGATGCCTGTGCTTTTATATATATATATATGGTACACCGTTCTCAAACTCAACATCGAGGTGATGAGGTCAGAGTGGCTCATTTTAAACCATGAATCATGTCAAATGCCAGTAAAATTAGTTTAATTTTTGAAATACATATACATTCAATCGAAAGTATAACAAAAGCCCTAACTTTTGCCTCGGATTTTTCAAGGATAAGAGCGTCCTAATAGAATTGCTGATTCCAAGCTTATTTAGCTTCCTTTTAACCCTGTTTTTCCCTGACCTGTTTGGATGAGATTGTTGTTTATTTTTTCTGATTTCACAGCAACACGGTACAGATAAATTCTTTTTTTTTTTTTTTTCTTTTTTTTCTTTCAAATGATCGCCTCCCAAGACGTTGACTCTATTCTACTGATGTGTATGTAATAAACATAGAGACAAAATTTTCAAGCACAGCGATAGGTAATAAAACTTCAACGATTTCAATTGTTTGCCGTATCAATGCGATATACATCGGTCAAGACACATCGACAAAAGACAGTGAAAGTACTCGGCTCTCCTCAGTTCTCCTGGTACATGTAACCGATCGGCTCAATTTATATGCTCGCATCGAAGAAGTAAAAGCGTAATCTGCTTCCTCTTTTTTTTTTTTTTTTTTTTTTTTTTTTTTTTTTTTTTTTTTTTTTTTTTTTTNAGAAACTTTTCCAGGGGCATCTTTTTTATCTTTTTTTTCAGGCGTGTTTTGGGGGGTTTTTTTTTTTTTTTTTTTTTTTTTTTTTTTTTTTTTTTTTTTTTTTTTGTTGCAATGCACAATTCGCAAAAGTGCACATATACACATTGCGATTGGAGTTTGCAGAGTGAAAGTAATTTATGCGCCGTACCAGCATACGTACATATATGTGCGCTATCGGTACTTACACGATAATCGATCAAACGAACGAGTTTTTGCCGCTTAATTTGTGCGATCGTACAACAAGTCCCCTTTGGATTGACAAAACGAGACGTTTCCGTGAGCCCGTGATGTATGTACCTTTACTCCTTTCATTTCTCAATTTCGACTCACGACGCGGTTGACTAGGATTTCATGGTTGTCGACTCGTACAAGGGCTTGATGTAACAGTATAATTTTTAATCCTAAGGGAAAAATTGACTCGTCATTTTGTTGTATAATTTTTATTTATTATTATTTTTTTTACATATCTTACAGAACAGTAAAGTCCTTTACATGAGTATTAACATTGTTACGTTGAGTATTTCTTCGTAAATGTATTCAAGAGGGATGTGCTAACATGAATCTCTATTTAAAAAAAAAAAAAAAAAATAGTTTGGCAAGTTTTCTTTACTACCATGATTTTTGCAGTGAACATTCTTCGTGCAGAAAACACATTTATGTAACTCCTAAAAAAATGTTTTATAGCAGAGATGTAATCGCGTCGGTATGATATTTATCCTGGAAACGAAAAAAAAAAAAAAAAGTTTCGGAACCATAATGAAAATCTCAAACTAATCACACACTGTGATCTCAAGCTCGCCCAATGCCTTCCACTCATTCGAATACACGTACAAGGGCGTGCAAACATTTTCACTTTCCCGCAATCAGCATTAATAATTGGCGTCGGGTGCTTATTTCACTCTTATTTTTTTTTTTTTCTTCTTGTTTTTTCGCAGCAGCAAAAAGACTCCCTAATTACAATATACGCACACACCGTACACCCGACGAGTGGACTTATTTCTTTTTTCGATCACACACGAGGTATTTTCTTGAAATTCTGATACTTACCTTAGTTTTTTTTTTTGCATCTAAAATTTATTGTTACGTTTCAAAGCAACCCCTATACTGGTAGTATCGGTTTTTTAAAAATTGGCAAGGGAAAACGTTGTCCCCTTCGGCTTCTGCAGCGCTTTGATGGTAAGTACTAAAAATATATTGATTGTTTCTTTCTCCGATATACGTATAACATTTACATACAGGCACAAAGTCTTTTTACTCGGTTCGCGCATATACGACGGGGAAAGGATCAAGACAACACCCGCATACCCGGCCAAACCTGGACGGAACATATTATGATACAAAATATCCTATATAAAAGTAAGAAAAAAAAAAAAAAAAAAAAAAACTTCAACTAAGCTTCCATCTACTAGTGATATTCTCTCTCGATGATCCAAAAGAGGCTAGGGGGGCGTCAGAATTTGGTCCCACCATCATCGGTCCCACCACAGCTGGTTGCCCGAGTACGTCCAGGGTGAATTGTCGCAGACGGTCCCGGCTATGGCGTCCCGCACCGGCACCGTCAATATCCGGAAGTTCACGTCCGTGTAGTTGAGCGTCGACTCGAGAAACACCGGCATACGGTCCGTCATTATCCAGAGCAGGCCTCGATTCACCTGCAGTAATATGCACAAGTTTCAAGTGCTATCTATTGCTCACCCCGAGTATAGGTTTAACCAATAACCCTTTCACTACAGATTTATATACTTATAATCGTACAGTTTTTAACAAAAAAGGCTAAGCTAATGCGATGTTTCACGTCTCTCGTAGCTTTTACTGCATAAAATTGCATTTGGTTTGGTAGAGCTAGATCGGTTGATTGTGCAAAAATTCCAACCACCAAACTTGGATTTCCACAATCGTTTCGGGCTGCTTGTTTTACCGCACAGTGCGCCCGCGTGGGCGTTTTATAATCCACAGTCGCAAAAGTAGAAAGGCGGACCAACCATTACGCGCAGCCTTATGTGTTTCTATATTATACGCGGACGAGAGTCGATAAGTGCAACGTCGCGTCTATCTCTCTGTCCACGGGTTATTGAGCCATTACGCGCCGAGACTGTTATGTCACAGCCGATATCGTTCCTCCCCCTTTCGTCTCGGACTCGATATTTTTTCCCTCCCCCCATTTCCCGTACGAGGTATAGCATATGAGTTATAGGAGTCGACCCGCTAACGAGGTCGAAGTAGGTACACGTTGGTTTCGATCGAAAATCGGACTGTTCATTTTCAGGACGATCGGAGATGGAGGAAAAAAAAATATATATGTTTGTACAATCGCGCTCTCCGTGTAGAGATATCTAAAACGACCCCCTCGCTTTTGTCGGCGCCAATTACGCGCGCCTATGCGCCCGTTCCCACGCAACACATGTCCGCGCCCCTTTGCGCGGGTGTTGAAGAAAAACGTACCTTGACGTCGGCCGGGAAAATCATGGCCTCGTCGTGGCGGGCTACGACGGCTTGGTTCGCCGGGGCGTAGGGTAGGAGCGAGTTCCAGCACCCGACCGCGTTCTGATCTATCAGGTTGAAGAACTGCAGCCCGTTCTCGTCCATCACCTCGGCCGTCGAGTGGCTCAGCGGGCCACGCTCCGGTAGTACCTGCGGGGTGGTCGTAATCATACCGATGTGCGTTACTGCGTATTGTATAAACGTGAGCCATTGATGCTGCTCCGTTGTTTGTCAGCTATTTTTTTTTTTTTTTTTTTTTTTCATGGCTTACAGTGGGTACAGGGTCTTAATGGCTAAGGACTTGCGTGCACGTTGGTTCATCAAAAACAACAAAGGTTAATCTGGAAATTACAGGTTTTATACGGACGTGACTCGTGTATTATACTTTCGTTGAATTAATTGCCGATTTTACATCTAAATAACTCTCGTGATGAGAATGTACGTGAAACCTCTGAGTAGAGCTGTTCCGAGTAAGGTATGCAGTGTAACGAAAAAGCTGCAAAGTTTTACTTGAAATATTTGACCCGAGTGATCGACAAAAAGTGGCTAAAACCATTATTGTTTAACTTACCGATTTCACGAAACTCCAAACAAACAAAAAAATCGGCTCTACAAACGTGAACCTAAACCAAAATCAAAATTCACTTCCAAACATCGAAACGAATGACTCTTCCGCGGCATTGCTGTATACTTAACCGCGAGGCGTATCATGATCTCGTTACAATGGAAGAAAAAGTAAAATCTCACTCGATTAGAGTAATGCGCTCGTAAACGGTAGAGATTTATTGGATTGGCGATAAACATTGACACAGAAAGGGAGAAAGTTGCCTTGCATGTTATCATACACTTTTCGCTTTTATTGACGCACTTTCTACGCGTGTGCATACGTGTACACAGGAGCAATTTTCTTCGACGCCAATTGTTGATGAATATACTTATTGGGAAAAAAAAAAAAAAAGTATCTGTGAAAGGTAAACGGACTCACCTGAAAGTCGTGCCAACTGTCCTCGGCGAGTCTCTCGTCCCTGAGTATCCTCGTGGAGATGGCGAACTCCCGGTTGCTGCTCAGCGGATGGAAAAACAAGGTCCTAAAGCCATCGAGGGCTATGGGCGAGAGGCTCATGCCGAATATGCCCTCCTCGCCCCACTGGAAGTTCAACCCGGCGATGTTGTAGTCCCCGGCCAGGGGGTCCGGCATGAAGTAACTATGGTAGACGCGCCATGAGCGGTTCAGCTGCCACGAGTACACGATCAGCCCGTACCCGAGCTCGTCCGACATGTAAGCGAAGGCATCGTCGCAGCCCCCCTTACCGAGATCCACGGCTATGTTCGCGATAAACGTGTTCTAAAAAACAAACGAGATCTCATGTACACTCGACGCTCTATTGCCAAACAAATCATTTACCGTTACCCGGGTGTGTTACACTCGTGCGAAAATCACCTGGTTGTCGCGCACTTGTTGCGCAACACCTGTACAAATATTTCACTCTCTCTTTTTTTTCACTTTGTCTCCTATCTTTCACGATAAAAGTCAGTACCAAATAATATACAACGATAAGCAAAGTTTGTGGCTACATCACAAATAAAAAAAATAAAAAAATCGTTGTCTTTCACCAAAATACATCAGTCAGCCTCTCTTTCCGTAACTCGAGGTACAAACAATTTTTTGTCCAGCCCCGCAATAACGATTAGNTTTTTATACATATAGTTTTGAGTTATCGCGTATACTTTGAAAGGGGATACGTATAGTATACAAGCAACAATGGGTTTGTTGATCGTACACAGCCTCGAGCCAGCACGTATATAATATTACCAATAACTCTTGAAATATTGCAAATCTATTACACCGCGCCAACTACTAACGCCCCATTGTTCTCCTGATTAATTGATTTCGTTAACTTTCGCTCGAAACACTACTCGTGTGTATAATATACCTACGGTTGAACCGATTTTTTTTTTTTTTTTTGTTATTCATTGGTAAACGGAATGAAAGTAGCTCCCACCTGGTTGACGTCCTCGGGCCTGAGCCTGTACTGCCTGATGAGCTTATCGGTGGTCAGGTCGAAGACGTTGATGGTGTACGGGCAAGCCTGGACGGTCGTGTTGCCGATCCCCACAGTCCCGACGTCCAGCACCCATAGTCTGTCGCACGCGTCCGCGTGTATTCTGCGGCAGTGGAAAACCCGAGGGATCAAAGAGAGAAACAAACAAAAACAGTTGCGTGTACACGCGTCAACGGCCCTTTTTGGAGCACACAATGGATGTGTCGAGAAAAACAGGAGCTCGAAAACGCTCGGCTGGAATTTTCATTGTGCGCCTTTTTGGCTAAAAGTCCGTTTAGGTGCTCGAGAGTTTCCGGGAAAACGATGAGAGAGAGAGAGAGGGGCATTTGTGAGCACGTGACTTTCGAGTAGTTGGATGACGACGGGTTGGATGATTTTTTTTTTTTCTCAATCAAATGCGTACCTGTACACAGTGGTGAGGCCGGTTCCACATGCCCCGGCTACGTTTTGCGCCCAGCTAGGGTAGGGCGTCAGCTTGGGGGAACCACCGCGCACCGCGTCCAGCGGTATGTAATTCAGCGTAGCTGGTATTCCTGTGGGAAAAACACGATTTTTCACCTGGATTTTGTTTTTTTGCAAGCTATTTCAAAGTTTCTCCATCGCTATTGTTTTTCAATGGGTACAGGGAGGGGGTTGCAAAACTTATTTCATCCTTTTGTTTCACATAGTCGCGTTGCCGTAGCTCATTAGGCCACGGGGGGCACGGAAGAGCTGCTGCCCATATGCATTTATTTTTCTCTCAATATTTAACAAAAAAATAAGTCGAAGTCAACCATTGGCCCACGGCATTTGGGTCTACCCTTCTTTTTTTCTTCTTCGCACACGTGCCCCATTGAAAGGGAAATTTGCATTGACATACGTACGTACACACGCGTCACCCGAGCTACCTGCGACAACTGCGTGCATAAAGTGCGTGGTTTCCTTTCATCCAGCACCTGAATGCCCAAAACAAAGGTAATATCAACTTCGCGGGCACACACCTAGCCCCCCCCCCCCCTAAAGAAACGACGAGCACAAAGGGAAGATCATCTCCCGGCAGCTTCGCGAAAGTCGCTCCGTATCACGTTTCGTCCTACATACCCCTATACGAGCTTCAATGGAGAGAACAAGATATCTCTTCAGAAAACTACTGCTCGGACCATAGAAAGAAGAAAAAAAAAAAAAGATTCCAAAGGACCGATACTTGAAAACGTCTCGGTGCAAAAGGCTTCTTTCTTATACGAGGCCTCTGTATACTGCGGAGGAGGAGAAGCACGCGTGTGCTCTGAGAAATAAAAAAAAAAAAAAAAAGCATTTAACGGGGTCACCCCATGGAGGTGAAGTGAATTAAGATTGGCACGGGGTTTATAGACGGAGGTGAAATTAAAATTTGTATGCGCTCGAGGGGCGGAGTCACCCGGTACGCGGATGATGGAACAATGGGAGCCGTACGATGAAGTACACGCGGTGTGGGAGGGAGGAAGGGAGGGGGGGGTGAGCTTTGATACGTGTGTCCTTTTAATGGTGCCGCTCCGGCGGATGTATGTCGCGTACGGGGAGATGTTTGTTTGTATTGGTGGGCTCGAAAGGAAACGTCAAAACGAGAGGGGGTTGTTCGGTCCATTTCAGTTTTTCCATTCTCAAACTACCTCGACGGGGACGAAAACTACGAGATAACGAGCCTCGTATTACATAATGTATTCACTCTTGGTCGAGTCACCAAGAAAACACGAGTAGATTCCAAAGGAAGGCGATAGTACATGTACGTAAACGCGTGGGGGTTTGACAAAACGCCGCGTGAATGAGGTACCGGTGCGAGAGTGGGTGGAGTAGGGACGGAGCAAAAAGAAATTTGTCGAAAAAAGGGGGGGGGGAGGAGGAGGGAAAAACGAAGGTGTATTATACCCTCTTTTGCGCTTTTACGTATATACCTGCGGATACCCGTGTACCATTCTGTCGCGAGGCGGAAACCGGCCAGACGAAAGGAGGTTTTTTTTTTTTTGTTTCGTCTTTTGGGGAGAAAAAATAATGGGGAGGGAGCGGAAGGAACGAGTGCTCCGCGCAACGGGGCCATAGATCAAAGCCGAGGAGGGCGCGAGACGGATATATAAAATATATGTATGCGCGGAAGATTAGATAAGCCGGGGATTTGCTGGTAATTAGCGTCACTATACCGCACTCGCTCTCCCTGTGTATACGGTGTACATAATCATTTGTTTGATTCATTAGGCTCGCGTTGCGCGTTTGGCTGCCAAGTGCGTGTACGTTGTTATGCATTTCGTGGAGGAAGAAAAGCGCGGGTAATATAATATGTATCGCGAAATATTTAATTAGCGACTGCGGGGTATTACCGATCTCGCGCGCTTGTATACACTTTCATCTGTACTTTCTGGAGCCGATCAGCGTCGCGATCGGCATGATCGGTGTACTATACAATTAGATCTCGGCGTACGTACATTGTGTGACCATTTATCATGCTTTCCGGCTCGCCCCTGCCGAACACGGCATTAGCCGAGACTCTCTTTCAAATCGCGATCTCGTAAGTTTATATACCGATCTCGCACTCGTGTTGCCCTCACAGCACATCTCGGCTCTGGAATTTCAAATTAAGTGCGTATACATGTGTATGAAAGCACACCGCAACAATATAAATATGTGTTCGTAATAGTGTAAGGTAGGAGGGATGACGTAGGCGTGCTCGATTTCCGTAAAATCGGCGCTGTGAAATGCGTTTATCTGCCCGACGGTCGTACATGTACGAAATACCGGTTGACGAAGGTCCGAGCCAACCAGCGACGGAGGAAAAAGGAAAAAAAACTAAACGAGCAGGCCATTGTCCCGCAGGGCTCGTTCGGTCGCTCACGCCACACGACAAAAGACGCGCGCCTTTATAGCTCTGCGCGTCGCGTGTCGACGACTTTGCGGTAATACGCACACGCTGTATTTATATGTGTGTGTGATATAACACGTATACGCGGTAGCAGCGTAGGCGTGAGCGCTATGTGGTGTCTGTATATAGCCCTGGTTAGCTTCCGGTTGTCCTATTATACGCCCCACTGGACTCTCTCTGGCTGTCCGTGTGTGTAATATGCGCGCGAACAATGGGGCAACTCTGCCCTCCTACTCTTCCCTACCGAGGGGAGGCTGGGTTACTTCTCTCTCGGTATCTGGACCTTTTACCTTTCGCCTCTTTATTTCTTTTTTTTTTTTTTTTTTTTTTTTTTTTTTTTGTATGTTGCGTGCGCAAGAGATTGCTGTTTTTTTTGGAACTATAGGAAGATTCTTTCTGTCAATACGGTGAAGTAGGACTGTATGGGTACGGCCAGAGGTGGATTTCGTACATTTTCTTTTTGGGCTCGTTAGGCGGGACGGAAACACAAATCGGTTTCTCCAATCCCAAAGTTATTACGATTGTTTTTTAGATTTTTCAATAGCTTCGAAACAACATTGTTTACTAAACATGCGACGCGTTGGATTTTTAGTGGAAATTGTTTGTCAGAAAACTTTGTTTATCTTTTTACAATGTAATGCATCTTTTTTGTAAGTAGAGAATTTTCCTAATGGTATTTGACAAAGTACCCATGCGCCCCGTTCCAATATAGGATGTCAAAAATAAGAAGAAGAAAAACGTCCCTATATAATCTTCGTCGTCGTGTCACGCGCTTTTGACGCCCCAACGCGTCATTTACAAACGCCAACACGTTCCCAAAAATGTGACGTTTTCCATCCGTGGATCTGTAATTACAATCGTCGTACAAAATGAGCTTACGGGGCCCGACTGATCCCCGGATGAGTCGCGCGCGGCTTGAGCCGGATGCCGTCGATCGCGCGTGAAAGGGAAAATCCTCCGGATCAAGAATCCCTCCCTCGAAACACGAAAGACAACTTTTATCGGGTCGTCGGGAGAAAATTATCGAAGGACCCGTACACGACTACCGGTTGGACCCGCTCCCTTATGCTAGTAATAACCCGCGGACCATTATTTTCTGGGAAATTATTCTAGCGACGCGCACGAGTTTGCGTATCCGCGTTATGTATAGATCGTCGGGGAATTTCAATTTAGCGAGTCCCACGAAGGTGATACACATATACACTTATTACAGGTTTTCCTTTCCTGTGGATACACTATAGGCTCGCGGGTTGCTCGTCGTTTTGCCGATTTCGTAACGAGGGGCCATGATTTTCTAATTAAACCGGCTCGTGTACGCGGACGCGAAAGAGCGCTCGCTCGTACTGGTTGTATTCAGATCGGGGAAAATTTTTCATTCGAAAGCTCGGGTCTTACGTGGTGTTGGGTTCTGGGCGTTTTTTTTTTTTTTTTTTTTTTCAATAGGATTGGGAGTTGCGGTGTTTACGAGGTGAGAGATATTTTTTTCCAATCGTCCTTCAAGTACTGACTGATTACATGATTTACTATTTGTCTGGCAACCGAATAAATGATCACTTACTTAACTCACACGTTAAATTACATTTAATACATTTTAGTTAACGATAATTTTTTTGTTTTTTTTTTTCAACCAATTGTAAGCTTTAGTTGATTTACGAAAAAACTGAGCTCTATTAGCCCACGAAGCAAACAAAAATTTCGTTAGATAATGCTGGAAAACTATTTGATGTGTGTATGCGTATATTTTCCGAGCAGACGTACAGCTTTCATAACTGCACGCAATAGAAAAATCCGCGTAGAAAATATATGTATACAACGTATATGCGCATAGAGAGAAATAAAAGATGAGAGGGGGTAAGTACATGATAAGTGGGGCTCGGAAACAGCTACAGCAGCATTGGTCACGGCTCGTTGCCGATCTCTGTATATAGCGGACTACCGATAGTGATATAAACGGCCTGATAAGGCAACTGGGTTTACGGCACGACAACATAATTAATTATAAAATTTCTATTCAAATCGTGGCGTTGATAAAACGAGTTTGATATATGTGTATATACAGTCGTAAGAACACGTTATAGAGGGCACTTTCTTCCCTCGTTGACGTTTGCTTCCGTAAATGTTTGTCTGCAAGGTGCGGCTGTTCATAGGAAGTATTGCAGCCGGTTGTCTATAAAATTTATACCAATGTTTGTTGCTGTGAAAAGATGATCATTGGAATATCGATGGATCAGTAAATTACGTTTTTTGTGTCTTTTTCATTTAATCATCATTATCATTAGATATGAATCAGTTGATTGTGTGCGTGTTCTTATTAAACGCAACAACCCGTAATTGAAAAAAAATTGCATTAATTAGCAATAAAATTTAACGCTCTGCTCCTTGCGTAACGAGTGCGCCGAAAAAAAGGTAATACGTATTAAATTTCTCCGATTACGTTAACAAGAGCCATTATAAGTTAATAATTATATTAATCAATACTGCCGATTCAAAACATCTGTACGAGGGCAAATGAAGAAAATTAAATAACCAGCACTGGATAATAGCCAATCAGGGAGTTTTTTTTTTTGCAACTAAAATAAGTCTTCTTCAATTGTGGTAATAGCATCACGTTATATGTAACGCAAGTGCATTATTACCCGCCCAACAACAGCAGCAGCAGTGCAC